TTTTTTTAGATTTGTTAAGATAAATTATAGAATTATTTCGCAGATAAAAATGTTTGTATTTTTTGTATATAAGTTTTATACTTTACTGTAAAAAATTTTTCAGCTGCGATACAAAGATGACTGTTCGTCTTAAATAATCATATTTAATTATATTTACTAACTTCTTTTGATTAGTAATTAATATATATATATATATACATAATAGGGAAGCATAAATTTTTGCGTATTAAAATATTTTTTAACCATTTTGATTTTTAGAGGGATGTACATTAGAAATTTACTATGTACATACATCTAACGATATCATTGTGAGAAACCAAATTTATAAATACTGTGATTCTTCCAAACAAACTGACAGAAAGGCAATAAGAATCAAAAACACGATTGTTAGAGCGCAAAAATTATTAACCAGTTAATAAACAAAGAATATTTCGGTTACAATTTTGGATCCTCTTTAGCTTGAAAAAATACAAAGAAAGAAAAAGATTCGGATTATATGGAGAAAAAGTTTAAGAACCGGTTAAACGCAATTAATAGAACAAAAACTGTCGCACCAATCACAAGCGCAGCATTGACCGATGCAATATGTTAAGGCAGAAATTATATAATCTTAAAAACTTGATATTATTTAGTAACAAAAAGTTCTGATTAACTGTACATCTCTCTTTCCCTCATCAATTAAAGTTTTAATTATTTTACAATCATATTCATAGACACAAATGTTGCTTTCTCAGTGATTCTAAAGCGTGCATTTTTGCATAAGGAAAGATTATTTTTCTATCGCATATATTTGATAATGGGATTTTCATCTATATGTACAATAATCAAGTGTAATTAACTTCATTAAGCATCAGTAAATTTGAATGTTTTCTAAAGACAATTTGTAACTCACCTTTTTTGCACATTAAAGGTACATTCAGAATTGAAATTCACCGTTTCCTCTCGTCACTTACAATGCAATTTATTTTTCAAGCAACTATTCACAAGCTGTACAAAACTGCTTTGTCAGACATACTTAAAAGTAACAGCTAATATTACCGTTTCCTCTCGTCACTTACAATGCAATTTATTTTTCAAGCAACTATTCACAAGCTGTACAAAACTGCTTTGTCAGACATACTTAAAAGTAATAGCTAATAATATTATATAATGATTTCTAATCGATCTAATGATTGAAACTTGTTGCACAATTTCTTACTGAACTAATAAGACGCAAAAAAGTAGTACTTGTTGAAGTTTTTATTTCATAATATCAAATTTAAGAATACATGCAAATACATATACATTCACAAACATGTAATTTTTCAGGATCTGTTATTTTTTTGACGTTAGTTTTTTGTCTGCTTTCATTGATTCATCTTAAATGAGTTTGCAAGAATTCCACGAGCTCCCAAACCTTTCAGTGCGAATACAGCACCAGCATAGGGAGTGGTTTTTCGCTGCTGTGCAGTTAAATTGTAGCCGGAAGTGGTCACATACAAAGTTTCAAGGAGCGGTCCACCAAATGTGACACTGGTTACGTTCTCAGCCGGAATCTTAACTTTGCGCAGTAGTTTTCCTGTTTTTGGATTTACATGGATGACCTAGATAGATAAACATTTTCATCATTTTAATAAATTTTGAAATTTATTTATCGTGTATTTAATCAATTATAGGTGAGACATTTAAAGCATGCTATATTTAGAAAAATATTAATTTTAGAAATGTTTCAAGCAGAGGTTGCAGATAAAAAAAGTATTCGATTATAATATAAATGACTATGATAGTTATTGTTTAAAAAAATAACAATGTTACTTTTATTTTAACAAAAGTTGATTTTATTCACAATGAAATACTAATTTGCTATTTGAAGTTATACAATAATATTAGAGATAATTTCTCATGCTCTTTTATCTTAGTTATCTTGTGTACTTACATGATGACCACCAAACAGTGCTACCCAAAGATTACCATCTGTATCTATAGTCATTCCGTCGGGTACTCCTTGTAACTCAGTTTTGTTCAAGTCAAATATAACCTTCTTATTAGCTGAAATATAAAAAAACTATTAAAAAAACTGCACACCAATAAAGTCCTCAATTAAAATAGTATCTTTTGTTTATTTTCAGCAGAGAATGTGTAATAAAGCTTCTTACATATTGTTCCTGCTTGTGGATCATAATCATATCCTACAACTTGACGCGTAGGTGAATCAATATAATAAAATTTGTTATCCTCTTTGTCCCATGCTAATCCGTTACTGATTGACACAGGAGTTACTTCTGTTTTAGGCTCAAGCTTGTCATCAATGCGATATAAAGTTCCTTCATTGGGAGATACCTGTCCATTGACTTCATTAGCCATAGTGCCTATGTCAAACATATAATTTGTTGATATACAACCAATATCTTTTGTGAACGAAAAGAATACGTTACAGTGATCATGACATTCTCAATTTACCTAACCAAAATCTTCCATGAGAATCAACTTTTCCATCATTGATCCTTGTTTGATTACGATCAGTGTCGACAGAACACAATACTTCGATTGTTGTGTTTGCTTCGTTTTCATCTCCATCCCAAGAAACAAGAATGACATCTCTTCCAGAACCTGCTACAAGTTTGTCAGGAGTATCGTCCACAGTTACAACAACTCCAACAGGACCATGTTCTGAAAAGTGTTATTAAACAGGTAACATTAACTCATGTTATAAATGTAACAATTACTGTATCATTGTATCATTATATGAATCTCATCTTACTTATGTAGGCGCTGTTTACTTCTCCAGTTGCGGGGTCCAATCTACGTATATATTGATTGGTTATATCGACAAAGTACAACTTTTGAGTACGTTGATCCCAATGAGGGCCTTCTGAAAGGCCAAAAGCATCTGTCACTCTATTCACACTAACTCTATGTTCCCTATAAATAAACAGTAACACTCATATTATTGTACTTAATATGAAAATATGCTTGTGTAACTTATAGCTAATTATATTGACTTAATAGTCAATAATTAGTTTTCATAGGCGCATGTAATCTGCTTTCCTTGATTCCAATGTATTATTGATAAGATTCGATGTAAACAAAAGACGACGTAATACGAAAGTACAAAACACGAAGTCTGTTTTTTTTTCTTTACTTCTACAATGTGTCATATTTCAGATAAAGTAAATATTGAAAAGAAAAAAAAAGAAAAAGTTACAGATGAATACAAATAAAAGCAGATCTGTTTATTACTTTTTTACATTTTTCTACACTTTTGTTTCTTTACGTTTGCTTGACTTGCATTCCGTTTTTTTTACAAAATAAAATTTAAAAAACGCAAGTATGATAACAAGAATTTCATCAAAATAAATTACATAAGACAATATTTCAGTCGATATTTACGTCATTGTGTCGATAAGTGTACACTCTTCTTTGAAATGGAATACCGGATTTAGAAAATTTGAACAACTGAAAGTTGAATGACTAGTGTTGAAGCGACAAAAAAAATGACGAGTTCACAGTGCGGGTGTGCGACAGCAACAGCTAGTTCGAGAGGGACCAACTCAAGGGAATGGAATTGTCAACTTGAATGATGGGAAGAATAATCACTATGATTGCTCAGACTACCAATCATTCCAATGATGTACTGGTACTAAGCGGTACAAGAGACACTGGCGGCTATTTAATTGATACGATAAAGCTGCGCTATCAGAAGGTAGAGGGTTATCACTTCACGTTACATTATGAAGGAAAAAAATAACTTATTTGTAGCAACTGTAAAACGCACTATCGAAATCGATGATATCGAAACGTTAAATAGATTACAGTAGTACAAACAGAAAAATATTACAGAAAAAATATTTGTTATATGAGACATTTATAAAGGCAAACAAGAGAAAATAATAAAACGTGGTATTTATGCATGTACGATATTAATAATAAAAATTTGTAATATTGCACATGCAAAAATATTGTGTTTTTAGCATATTATATATATTTTTTCATTTTTAAATGGATAATTATGTAGTGATTTGTATAAAATAAATTTGATTTAGGACAAAATATTCTCTAATAAAAAACATAAAATATTTTAAAACTTTTTGTTTATATCGCCACAGCAAAATTAATCACATTGATATCTTAATCATATTTCTCTGTGACGCTCAAATATATTATAATGAAATTACAATAAAGTCATGGTGACATGCAAATGTCCGCTTTATCGCAGATGTAATGTCGTTGACATCATATGAAATGAAACAAAAATGAAAATATAAAATTAAAAATAGGAGGATAGCACAAATACGAGATAGATAGCACACGTGTCACATAGCGGCAAGCGAACTAATGACGGAATACTGTTTCTATAATCTTTTTGGAACGTTATTGTAACATTTCTGCGACATTTTATGTCATTTTATGTCATTTTATGTCATATATATCACCACGACTGTGATTAATGATATCACTGTAACTTTCTAATAATGTCACAGTGACATCACAATTTTTCAGTAATCTTGTGACTCTATTGTGATGCCACTGTGACTTTTTTTTTGGAAGTAGTGTCAATAATGGAAACATCAAAAATATCTATAAATGTGAATATTGCAAAGAATACATAAAATGAACATCCCACAGATCTGTATAAAAATCTGATGGATACAAATGTAAAAAATAATTTTTAATAAAACATTAGATATAAATAATGATATCGATACGATATCGATATCATACGACATCAATACGAAAGAATAGAAAACACGCAAGATGGTAATATTTTTAATAAATATAAAATAATACTTTTTATTCAAAAAACATTATCTAATAACTTACTTGATTGACCACTGTTAGAAACAAATATGGAAAAAAAAAAAAAAGTTGCAAAAAGCAGTTTTTAAACACAAGATCTACAATATTCTAGCTCACTTGTCTGATTCATTTAGTCACGCTTGTTACTTAGCGCTTACTTCTATCGACTCGAAAGGTATGCAGAAGGTAAAAAAAATAATTTAAAATCTTACACGCGTGTAATTTCGAGTCGATAGAGGTGAGTGCTAACAAAGAATACATGAAATGAAGATCCAATAGATTTCTATACAAATCTAAAAAATAATTTTTAATAAAATATTAGATATAAATAATGATATCAATGCAAAGGAAGTGGAAGAGAAAATACGCAAGATAAAGATTACTTTATCATCTATCAAATAAAAATGAAAATCTTCAACATTCATAAAAATTCTGCAAATGCTATTACGGTCGATCGTGGAAAATAACGTCAGATTCTAAGAGAAAAATTTTTACAAGCTACTGGAAGATAACTTTTTGTATAGAAGATTTGTATAGAAATCTGTTGAATCTTCATTTCATGTATTCTTTGTTAGCATTTAGCTCTATCGACTCAAAATTACACACGTGTAAAACTTTTAATTATTTTTGTTTGACCTACTGCATATTTTTCCAGTCGATAGAGATAAATGCTAAGTAACAAGAAGAATACATTTTGTAACATCATGGTCGTACAGAATTTTATCGCAAAGCTATACAATGGGAACATAAACATTTTTTAATTATTATCATAATTAAAGAGCTGTGCTTCGCGTTTAAATTTAATTTAACTCAATAGACTTTTAATTATAATATTATAATCCAAGTTCAACTGATTGCATTTCTTTTTAGTTTTATCTCCAAAAAAAGACAAGAAATAGTTATATTTTAATCAATTTTAATTAATATAAATTTTGATAAATATATACATACATATGTATATATCCATATGTGTGTAATATTTTTAGTAAACAAAGCTTATAAAAAATTGCACACATACATACGCGCGCGTACACAACAAGCACAATTCAATATTTTGCTATCATATTATTTCTAATATTTCAAACTTGTAATCTTGTAAAAACCCAACTTTTATTTTTCCTATAATTGCAAAGAAATATTACATAATGCAAGGCGCGTGAATATAGAACTGGTTTTTAAAGTTATTAATTACGATATGTCCTTTCACTTACCAGCCATGGCGTCTACCATGGACAAGAGCGACGAGAACGCTCGCCAGCAACACGTATTTGTGAATTACTCGTCTCATGACACTTTGTATGCTATCGAAGGAAACGTTCTTTCAGAATAGGCTCAGGAAAGAGTGAATGAAACTTAAACGCACGCCGATGGGTTCTTATATATAGGTGCTCCTACCTTCGGCGATCCGTGCATCGATTCTACTTTGTTTTTTTGTCGTAGATAATGAATAAACACATGAACATAATGCTGATTAATATACATTACTTGGTTCCATTTTTCATAATACATAAATTCATAAAACACCTGTGTCTATCTAAAAGTGACCAAAAATGGGACATTTTTATTGCGATCGATACTCATAGTGATGATAATCTTTGACAGGAAAAGATTATGAGGATTGATTGTGGTAATTTATTACGGTAAAAATGTTTTGCACGACCATTTGTCGTAAATGAAAGTTACAAGGACGAAACAGAGAAAGAATTAAGTGCAAATTGAAAAATATCTTACAACGTATAATAAAGATAGAAGAAAACACAACGAAACGGAGTTATAGAAATACATTCTCATTAATGAAAGATAATATACAGTCATACACGTATGTGTACCTGTATAAATGGAAGCAAGACACTAAGATAACACTAAGATAACAAAAATGACAAATTAATCAAATACAACAAGTCGTTTGTTACATAGGTCGTAACGTTTCTCTACGTAAGGTATGAATCCTTGACCGATCCTTGACGTATATTCAATCATGCGAACACTAGACGGAAATGAAGTAACGCATTATTCGAGTCACAATATTAATAAAGTAATTTGTTAGATATTTCACACACAGTGCTTCCGATAAAGATTTACATGCAAATTATTGTTATATTTTATGTACAAACTACAATGCTATTATTATATTGTGACAAATTGCAACATTACGCAAATTTTTTTGAAATTGTACAATGTTTAAAACAATTTTAAGGAGTACAATAAAAGAAAAATAAATTAAATTTTTTTTGGCAAAAAATTTTAGCTAATAGTTAATGTTAACTAAAATAATTATATATATTTATGTAACGCAAAAAAAGTATAAAAAATGTAAATAATTTAATATTTCTATTTCTTTGTCAATTTCTAAAATATTAGGCAATAATTATGTACTGTTTGAATTATTTATCCAATTACATTAATTGTTAAATATTACAAAGCAATCTTATTTACCAAACAAAATTATGGATAAGATAATGTTTAGACATTGTCTTATCTTGTAATCTTGTACTTTACAGACGTAAAAAATAAAACTTGATACTTAAATGATTAAATAAATTTAAAACAAAAGAATAAACGGGCAATTATTTGTATCTTATCAAATTTATTTTTGCACCAGCACTATTATACAGTTTTAATATATTTTAATTATATCTCATATTTTTAGTATTCTTAATTTATAACTAGTACAGGTACTTTGCGTTGATTTGGTAGTCTTCTGTTTTATTTTAGACATCGAATAATCTGTTTTACATGAATTCTGCTAATAAGAAGCAGAACTTTGATGCAAATTTACTAAATGTTTCTATATTCAACATTCGATTAGCGATGTATATTATCGCGCAGAAAATAAATTTCTCGAGCCTGTTGCTATGCAACCCGTTCAACTCTCTTGCTAGAAGTGTGACATTATTGATAAACAGTTATGCATCATTACCGACCGCGTTCATGCTGATCGCGTCATCTAACATCGGCGACGGAAACATTTTACAAAAAGCCATAGCAAGCGGAGACGTGACGGCCAACATCATCAGATCACGTGACATTCGTATATTGATACGTGTCGGCGAGTTGAGCCACGACTCGCTACGCTCTGCCAGTCGAGCATACGCGTTTCAACCTACATCGGGTGTATGAGGCGTTATTCACGACGGTGTTGATTCTCTTGGATTCTGTGCAAGAAGGTCACTCGATCGACAGTGCTCAGAACAGTCACATTAACGCGGCAAGATGGGATGTGAGTATATTTGCCGTTTACAGTCAGAATTAAAGGGCTTTTGACTCAGATTCAATTGTAACCTCTTGCAACGCGTAACCTTCTTTCGCGCGCACAACATATTGTGACAAACGCAAGAAACTTGTTTATACGTTCCTATGCGAGCTCACCGCCACCAGATACGCTAAATCCTCTTTTCTTTTGTGGTTTCAGTCAAATTTCTTGAAGTGATAAAACCGTTTTGTAGCATACTGCCGGAAATAGCGAAACCGCAACGAAAGGTAAGACGCACCATCTATTTCCGTCTCTCTCTTGTATTTACAGTTTTGTGTACCGTTTTTCTCAAATTCTTCAATTACTCTGGACACGCGTGAAATCTGTAACAAAATGACATACTTCTCGCCATCTGTTTATGACCATCTGTTTATGACATGTAATACACTCGTCTGCAACATTATCATACAATGTAAAATTTTCTTCATTCGGTTTTTGTCAGTGACAATTTTTTCTCCACAAGCATGTGATGGTCAATTTACTGTAATTATTAATTATTATTCTGCAGATTCAGTTCAGAGAAAAAGTACTATGGACAGCAATCACGTTGTTCATCTTCTTAGTATGTTGCCAGGTAAGTTTAATACAAGATAGAAAATCTGCTAACTAATTTGAAGTTTTATGAATAAATACAAATGTATAATTTTACGACTTTCAGATTCCATTATTTGGAATCATGTCTTCGGACAGTGCGGATCCGTTCTATTGGATTCGTGTAATACTCGCATCGAACAGAGGAACATTGATGGAGTTGGGTATCTCGCCAATTGTTACTTCTGGTCTTATCATGCAGCTGCTGCATGGGGCTAAGATAATCGAAGTCGGTGATACGCCAAAAGACAGAGCATTATTTAATGGTGCACAGAAATGTAAGTGTATTAAAATTCCATTTGCTAATGCAATTTTAATATAACACAACTGAAATGACATTTATCTTTACTGCTTTTAGTGTTTGGTATGGTTATCACTGTTGGACAAGCCATTGTTTATGTAATGACCGGTATGTACGGAGATCCAACTGAAATTGGAGCTGGAGTTTGTCTCCTGATTATTATTCAGCTGTTTGTTGCTGGTCTTATCGTATTGCTGTTGGACGAGCTTCTTCAGAAAGGATATGGATTGGGAAGTGGCATATCTCTCTTTATTGCCACCAATATTTGCGAAACTATTGTTTGGAAAGCATTCTCACCAGCCACAGTTAACACTGGTACGTTCTTCGCATTGTCAGAGAGAAACTGCATAAACTGAGAAATATTGCTTTTAATATATTTTATTATATATATGACGATTAAAGTGTTTACATTTTTTTTTTGTCTGTATCTAATAGGTCGTGGTACAGAATTTGAAGGAGCAGTGATCGCTCTGTTCCATCTGCTGGCTACTAGACAGGATAAAGTCCGTGCTCTTCGAGAAGCATTCTACAGACAAAATCTTCCAAATTTGATGAATCTTCTCGCTACCATTCTAGTGTTTGCTATCGTTATTTACTTCCAGGTAAATTGCCGATAGTTCGAGAAGCATTTGCGCCATCTGTTAATTGTGTATCATATAATTTTTTCTAACTAATATTATTAAGCTACTATTCTTTTGTATATGTTTTAATTATGCATATACTAAGAGATATTTTATTTTCAGGGCTTCCGCGTAGATCTTCCGATTAAGTCTGCGAGATATCGCGGCCAATACAGCAGCTATCCGATCAAACTGTTTTACACCAGCAATATTCCGATTATCTTGCAATCGGCTCTTGTGTCCAATTTATACGTCATTTCCCAGATGTTGGCAGTCAAGTTCCAAGGAAATCTCATAGTGAATTTACTGGGCGTTTGGTCAGATATCGGTGGCGGGGGTCCTGCCAGATCATATCCAGTCGGGGGATTGTGTTATTATTTATCACCTCCGGAATCAGTTGGCCATATTGTTCAAGATCCTGTACACGCTGTACTCTACATTCTTTTCATGCTTGGCTCATGCGCCTTCTTCTCCAAGACGTGGATCGAGGTGTCGGGAAGTTCGGCGAAGGATGTTAGTAGACAGCATTCATTACAAGACTACAAGTCTTCCCAATAAAAAAAAAATTTACAATACTGATTATTGACATTGCAGGTTGCTAAACAACTGAGAGAACAACAGATGGTTATGCGAGGCCACAGAGATAACTCTATGATCCGCGAATTGAATCGGTATATCCCGACCGCCGCGGCATTCGGTGGACTATGTATCGGCGCCCTGTCTGTGTTGGCAGACTTTTTAGGTGCAATCGGTTCCGGTACTGGTATTCTGCTCGCTGTCACAATTATATATCAATACTTCGAGATCTTCGTCAAGGAACAAAGTGAAATGGGTGGCATGAGCACGTTACTCTTCTAAACTTAATATATCTATAGACTTGAAAAGTGAAGTTTTTTAATTCTGAAGAACTGAGTAATAATTTATTATAAAATAAGTCGGACTGGCAGTTGCGTGTGTGTGTTTGTCAAAATGACAAACGGGATAAAAGGCACGCAGCTGAAGATTTTCCGCGTTATATACCAAGTCGCGCATATTTAACTTATACCGTCGGTATATTATTGTTACTCTGCGCGAAAGATAACAGCATCCGTGATACTTTTTCAAAAAAGAAAATGAAAGGCTCAAATATCGATGGTAAGTTAAATATGTGCGATTTTTATATATATGTGTGTACGTGTGTGTATGTATATGTATATATATATGTATGTACATATATATATATATATTTTGTTTTAACATTTATAAAAGCTAATTGTCTCTTCTAAGTACATATATATATATTTCACACACACACTCATACACACGAAAGCTAGAGAGAATAAACTTTTATAAATATTAAAACATTTTTTTTCGTCTTCCTTGGTTCATTTTTTCCCCCGAAGGCTTCATCACATTTTGTTACTGTACTATACATAATCTCATCTCAAAATCATTGAGTGATACTGCAAGAGTCTTAGAACAAATTTCTATATCCATAAGCAGAAAACAGTTAGTTGAGAATTATAATTATTCATTATATCATTATTAAGAATCCATGCGTATGTAATATGTTACATATTTCAAGCAAAATAATTGTATACAAGGAAACTCGAGTAAAGATCATTCCTATTTTATACAGTGTGATTGTCATTTTCTACTTTATACGTAGGATTGTTATAAGATATACATGAGATATAACTATTGTTATAGAATATCAATGTAACAGAGAGAAAACGCTAAATGTCCAAATGTACTTACTGTTAATGGTGTTCAATACATGAAACCTGCGAAAATATTTAATCTCAATATTCATAATCCTGGAACGTATGTTACAAAATAGTACAGATCGTTTCTCTCATAAATTAGATTTTTATATCAGTTAATGCACGCATCATTTTGATTCTAAATAAAAATTCCCACGGTTGAGTTTGGACAGTTTGGTCAAATCATTTACAAGTGAAAGTATGTTCGAATTAACTTCAGGTTCGAAAATTGTTACAACTTAAACATAAAACATGAAATGTGTAATAATGTATATATGTAAGTCAAACACACACAGACAGATTTTATGTATATAATTTGAAAAATTTATAAATGTACATATAAATACTTAAAAAGAGGCTATAATATTCTTTCAAATTATATTATTTGATTTCATCACTGTCAAAGTTTGATTATTTACAAATCGTATACAGTTAATATCGATTCAAATGTTATCCGAAATGTATTCTGCATTGTTATTTATTTTCATTGTAAAACAATGTCGAGTATAAAGATCCTAATGTGTGAATGTTTGCCAATAATACTAAACGAAGAGTGTCCGTAAAGCGTGCATTAGGCGATGATGTGTCGGTGTCTCTCCAAGCTATATTAGCGCCTTCGTTCCGCGTGAACAACGCTGGAGATGGCACATTATCACGCATGTACGCCCATACGCATTCCCTCATTATTGTATTTATCTGCAATGCAAGTTAAAGTCGTTTATCAAAAACTCGAATACTCAAATGACTGAAAAGAATGTTGCTGGATGTACCTGATGTGGCTGTAAAACAGGAAGGATGTCTCTGATACTAGCCAGCGGCGGTGGTAACAACTGGCCAAGCGCCATAACGTTGACAAGCGATACGCCTTCCTCTGTACTCCAGTTAGCTATAACAGTCGCAGTAATACCCCTCAGCAAGACGGAGCAATACGCTAACGCTGGCCTGTACCAGGCGGTCAACTCTAATAATGTCCACAACAAAGGTACGTCTTTAAATTTGCGACGGATTTTCAAATCTCTCTCTATTGTGACCTGTGAAAATGATAACCGTTATTACCGTTGATGATAATTAACTAGTTTAACAGAGTTTCACGTCGTGCAAATAATAAAGATTACCTTTGTAAATTCCTCATCAGGCCACGGAAGGCCATTGTACATCACATCAGGGGAGACTAATTCAACTAACAACAAACTCATTACTGTCAGAGCATCCAAATTGACGGGATATCGTTCCGAGTCCAGATTGCTGCAACAAGCCTAAAAATAATAGAATTATATTAGTATAATTAATGTAACATTTGCCAAGTTTTATTAAATTGTCTAATAAGTAATGTATAATAAGTTTTCCAAATATACTTTTTTTTTCAAAGCAGTTTGATCAACGTAAATCAACACGCAAATTGAATGTTCGAAAATACCAAATTACTTATTACACAACTAAATGCACAATAAATTCTATTAATTACTTTTATAACATCCATCAATAACATCTTGTTTAAAGTGATAATTTCCTTATTAAACGAATTTTCCGGCAGAGGCCTTCGTGGACCGTGTCCTATTATCCCGGCATGAAATACCGACGAATGTCGCTGTGCCAACATCGTACTTGTTACCTACAAATGAAACCACTTAACATATTTTTCTATATATTTATATATTGATTACATGGATCGTTGAAATTTTATATATGTATGGCTTTTAAAATGTAATTTTATCGTCGAGATATAGGATATACCTGTTTATGATTTTGATGTAACAGTAACATCTCTTCGAAATGGGGCACGAATTTCTTTTTTGCGCCAAAGTATTTAGCCTGCTCGTTATTAATACAATTCCCTAGTATCTCTCTGAGCGCCAAAGCGCGTGCACATGGGGAATAACATGTCAAATTTTTCAACAAGTGACATACCATCGTTACTCCTTGTTCTTTTTTTATAATATCTAAAAAGGAAATTTTATTTTATATATTGTTGCTCAAAGAAACAAAGAGTCATTAAAGAATTTCAAATTACCAGTTTGTGTAATGCATAAGAAGAAGTATTGGATGATTGCTATCGTCATTTTCAGCATCAGATCCACATAGAAAATATGATCTTTGTCAGATGTGCTTAACAGATCCAACAGAGTAATGATATCAGTTGCCAAGTCGAAATCATCGGTTTTCGTTAATAAAGAAGATATTTGATATAAATTAGATCTGAGGGCTCTCGTAATCATCTTCGACTGTAATATTGTAGCCTTGTTCGACTTTTCCCACCTAAATAAAAATAGAAATAATTATAATTATTATATCGAAAGCATAAAATAAATTATCAACACTTACTTTAACAGTATAGTGAGATTCTTGAATAACTGCTTCGATTCTTCCTTATTTACGATGTTTTTATAGTGTATCTCTCTAAGTGCCTGCTCCAAAATTTGTGTAAAATTATCATGATTAGTATGCATATTTTCGGCTTCAGATTTAGTCGCAGGAAACATTATAACGTTATTGGTGATAAAACGTATCAAGGCTGCGAGATGAAACATTGTTTTCGCTTTCGCTAGCATATAGGATGCCGCGAACATAATTATGTTTGGACTTTGACTTCTTAGGAAGCATAACAGTCTAACAGCTGTTTGCACACGCAGCGGATTGGGATGTAAAAGCATCGGTATTATCAATGATATCTCTTGTTTGATGGAACTCAACAGAGCGATATTGGCGGATTGCGGCCCGTGCGTCCTCAATAAGAGATCGATTTCTTGCAAGATCAATTCCAGCATCTCTCGACAAACGTTCTTCACATTTTGCGCCGCGTTAATGCTGTGATAACCAACATTGCTCGGATTTAAACACGTGTCTAGCAATATATTAATTATCTGCGATGCTCCTTGCTCGCAGCCTAATATCAAATGTACTGTCAAGTCCATTAAGGCTGCTGGTTGATTGTCAAAGTATTTACACCAGTCTGTTGTAAACAATGCCAAACGTGGTATGATGTCCGGCCTCACTGTAACAAAAATTCGTGCCATTATGAATAATTATAATGTTAATTATAATAATTTATCTTAAATATATTATTTCTACTTGAAACTTACACGTTTGCAATACATCACTAGTCATTGCTTTTAAAAGTGTCTGCGAAAGAGAGGTCAGATTCAAAAGAAACGGTACTGTGGCCAATTTCTGCTTCTTCGTATCTTCATCGATACTTATATTTTCCTCCAAACTCCACTATAAAAATAAATTTATAAGTAAATATATAAATTTAAGTCTAATATATATGGAATAGTAAAACAAAATAACTGATAAAACTTGCCTCGAACAGATCTAGCAATGCTTTTCTAATATCTTGAAAATGACTACCCGCCAAATGTCCCAATATACCAACAACTGAATTTAGCTTTGGATTCTTAACATTATATTCATATCCCATGGAGCAAAAATCTTTCAGTCCACACGATAGCACCCTAGTAATCACAGTATTTGGAAAACAACTTCCTACATGAGCCACCACCCAATCAAAATATGGACTGTGCAGCACACTTGTATCCAACAACGCCTTGATGCAAGACTCGGTATCTGAGTGCATAAGACATTGTAAACATTGTGCTGTGATGTCTATTAGAGTTCGCGTCGCACGACATGACATCCATTGTTGCAGAAAATCATTAATGCCAGCGTTGACAGGTAAATTACCACGTTTTGAATAATCAGTTGACAGTTTGCCTATAAAAAAAAGCACATTTTGTACATTACAAAAATATGGTCACCATATTCAACTGTAAATCAAATATTTACCAAGTAAATCCAATGACCACGCTGATATAATAGGTGCCCATGCTTCTGGACTTCCATTTATAAAATTACTTAGAACGATATGAATTTCTGCTATAATGCTTTCTTCGGGTATTGGTATATTTTGATTAGTCTATAAAAATTTAACAACTCATTATTATCATATTAATACTAATTGTAAATTTATTGAGTATCATGTGTACAAAAAACACGTGTAAATGAAGAGTATTGGTTACATTTACATACCTCAATTTGACGAACATATTTTGTCACTGCGACGAAAAATATATTGCAAAAGTATTCGAGCACGGCATCTCTTGCCGCAGGTACATTTTGTAGTAAATATAACGCCGTACGCGTTATATCTTGCGTGTTTGTACTGTGAATAGGCCTGACAGCACCAGAAATAAATTTTCTAACCTCGGCTAGAATATCTTGATGTGATAAAGTTGCCGTATTGTGCAGCATTCTTAATTAATGATCAATAATAATGTTTTAACTGTAAAATGTTATCCAATTATATCCACATTTCTATTTAATTCAATATAAACTTATCGTATATCTTTATTGAGAGTGCCGCAGAGTACCGTGGCCCTTTTCAATTAAGAGGTTATGTTGCAACAAATATATACAGGGTGTTCGCAATTGTTGTTTCATACCGGTAAAAAACTAATCTGTATCTCTATATGCATATATACATATCCTGAAAATCATTTTTAGCCAAAAACTTAATCATAATTTTTTTATCAATTCTGCTAAGTATTATTTTTTATTTTACAAAATATAATTAGATATAAATCAAACATTTGTAAAATTTGTATGTGAAAATAGATGATAGGTACATTACTAATTTAATGTGAAAAAAGTATGATTTAAAACTTTTTATATTTAAGAGATTGACATTACACAATTAAAAAAGTCTTTTTAATAAACAACTTATACTAGATATGCAACAGTTAAGGAATTACATATTGCAATGATGATGTTTACATACATATGAAGTAATAAATATTATAATATAATACTGGATTATTACATAAAGAGTATCTCAACGTCTTTTCTTCTTCTCTTGTTTACGTGGCCGATGAGGTCTTCTTGGCGTCACTTGTGGACTGTTTTCAGAACATTCTACATCACTTGGATCATCCTGTAATTATAATAATTGTTGCAGTAGGTACGAAGAGATTAAATTTGAAGTAGATAATCAAGAATAATACTTTTAAAGCTGCCACACCATCAGATGGACCTGCCTGATATAATACTATAGATAACAGGCACATAATTTGAAATATTGCGCCCACATAAAGGCCAAATCTCAATAACTGCTCAAACAGGGTTTCCTCTGCTGGCAGTAAAAAGCGTTTGAGCTGTGGATCTGCATCCGCCATTTCTACACACAAAATAATACAATTACAAATTTTTGTTTATATTGTTGCACCTGTGGTGGTGCACATATATGTATATATCATGCATATGTGTATGTGCGTATATAAAATTGATGGGCTATAGTTTATCATAGTTAAAAACACAATATGTAATATGTACATAACATGTGCTCGCACAAACTATTAAGACGTTTACAAACAATTTATAAAGTTATTATTTCTCATTGAACAATTTGTTAAATAGCCTTCCATTTGTTAAGTAGCATTCCATTCCTTCGAGTTCTTAGTGCAACAATCTTATAATTTTTCTTTTTCCGCCCGAAGAGCTTGTCGCTATTTCTTCATTATCTATCATGTCTTGCTGTTAAAAGGATTCGCGATCGACAACGATAATTGCTCAATAGTACCGGCACATACTGTTTCGCGATATTGACGCGAGAGAGATATATGTACGAGGCGAGGAAATCAATAACTGACGGTAATCGGCGATGATCGCCGCTTTATCCTCTCATGCAAAAAGTAAATAATGTCAACTTTACAGTGATTGGAACGTGTGCATGCTCCGTTTTCCAGCAACTGTCACAGCAATCGTGACATTTCGTGGAACAACAATAGCGGCAAATCGCTCGACTTTCTGATTCGACGAAGAAATAATTCGAGTCCAGACCTCTCGACTCGGGACAACTCGGCTCGATTCGGCTTGGTTCGACGCTCGTTTCTTTGACGTTGGCAATGCACGGCGATTGTACTTGTCGCGTTCTCCATCTGATGGCGTTGTGCGCGAGCAATGCGACATCTGTCGTCAAATATTATAGCTATGTAAGCCTCGAATCCAATCAAACATTTATCGTCGATGAATTTAGTTGTGAATGGTTTAATAATTATTTATTGTATACGTGAGTTTATTGTTTTTACATTGTATTGTACAATGTAGTTATTATTAATTGCAATTTTTCAGTATCGATAGATAAATAGATACGGAAAGCTCTTGTACGAATCGCCCAGTTTGAATTTCGCGGCGTATCGGAAGTGTGCTGGGTTCGAGGCTTAGTAGCTCGCGAGTCCGTGGATGTGAACCTTTGTTTTGTACAAAAGTTATGGCTGCCGTCTCTAGTTTTCGATTGATGTTTTCCGTGGAGAGTCCGAATTCCCGTGTTTACCGCGGTATTTAATAACGCGAGATTGTGTTGCGCGACGCGTTGGCATCGACCGCGATGTGAGCGGCATTCATCCGCACGTCGTTTCGACTGCCTTAGTGTCATTTTTGTCGAAAAATGCCTGTGTTTACATCCGAGTTACCAGTGAGCTTCTGTATTCCTGTCACATTGAGGTAAGCGACGCTTTTTACGATACGCAAATATGCTCGGCAGTGCGACGCGGCCTGATTTGTGGAAACACGATGCGAAATCGCCACACGGCGATCACCAGCGACCATTGGTGCAATGATCCCTTTATTCGTCGACGATGATCGTCGTCCTTAGTAATCACCGTGCGCATTTTGTACGCCCTGCTATTGTTTAACATTGCGAATCGCATCGTCGCGCGCGTTTTCTCGCTTCTCGACCGGGAAATTATGTGCCAGTGTCCACGAAATCGTCCTGAAAAGCAAACGAATTCGTTTCCGTCGTACTTAACCAAAAAAAAGTTTCGTCCTCTTCGACAAGGAAGGCGAGTATTTTGATGCTGATTCTGACATTTTACATCGATCTGATAGAACAACGGAAGCATTTGTCGCATTAAATTATCGTCAGATCGTAAAACATATTCCGCGGGATGTAATCTGTGCATTCGCAATTTTTCGTCTCCGATGGTGGCAACAATGGCTGGTAAAATGGTGAGCGAGGGCAGGTCAAGCACACAACATCGCTGTGAACTTTCTGCCTGCCTGTCTGATTTTCTGACTATCGTCAAATATATTTCGTCCATCACATCGCGATTACATATCACGATTTGAGTGGTTTTAGATGATCGATACATGTCGATTCTTGAATAGAAGAAATTTGTCACCTAACATTATGTTGACTACTAATTAGGCCAAATCATTTTCAACTTCTGTACGTTGCTAGTTTGTTTGCAGTGGTTTATTATTATTATTTTCTTTAAGCGAACATATGGATAAATAATATTCTTTGACTATATTCTTCATAATATTTTGAAATACACGCAAAATAATAGACAACCGTTTGCTTATCCATATATTCAATCTGTTTGAATCAAATATTTAAATGTTCTATCAGTTAATATTAATCCATTTTAATACAGCAGACCTGTTTTCTCTGGCAATAATAATATTTGTAATCATCTTGAGTGGGAATGTAATCATTTACTGCATCTTTGAAAAATATTTGAAGCTTTTTAAGCAAATTTAAGACGGTAAGGATAGAGCATAATAAGATAAATACCAGTGTAGAAACATAATAGACACATGATAACAGTTTATTAGCATGCAAGCCTGTCTTTTGTATCTTTTATAAAGATAAATTTTTCATCATATTTAATCTTAATGGCTCAGTTTAGTGTATAAGTTACTATTATACATTGTACTAATATTTCTTCTTGCATTTTTACAAAAGATAAAAAAGGTGGCAATTTTTTTAATTTTTTTTCTTTCTTTCTGAATTAAGCTTTCTTTCTTTCTGTAGCATCAATGTCGGCTCACAATATAAATTGTAGTGTCGTTATAGCGATTACAATTTTGCTTTTTTACTTATAAATCCGATTTTAATAGATCTAACCTAAACGATTAGAGGCTAACAGCGAAACGACAGTCGAGAACAGTTTCACGGCGCAGTAGAAAAATGTTGCCAGGCGGCGCTTGGCTCGCTCGGCCATATTGCCGGTGCACCCTGCTTACCCTGCCCCTCAACCCTCATTCAACTACCCTTTGCACACAGCACCCCCTCCCCGTTCTCCTCCTCTTTTCGCGATCCTTTCATGAACGCGCGATCCCTTCCAATCGTGTTTTCTTGTCTCTCCTATTTTCTTTCTCATCCGTTCTACCTCTCTTCGCGCCCGCGCGTCAAGTTTCTTCACTCTCGTTGTCGAAAGCTATACGTCAAACACTTAGCGCCTGCCCGATCACATATAATGTTTTCACAGAGAGGGTTAATGTAACAGAACGTAAACCGAAACGTGAATTATTAAAAACAGTGTGAAATACGCGCTGAAATTTTCCGTCTTTTTTTTCTGGCATATGTAGTTTCTGTTCATAGGCAAAGTAATAAACAATATTACATTTTAATTGTTTGTAGACTTATGTCGAGGTTTTATATCAACGACAGTTTTCGATACAATTTTTGAAACAGGATTATTCTCTGGATTAGAGCATAATCACAATTAGTAAACTATCTTTTTCTGATTTCTGTAAAATTAGATGGCAAGAATTGATTGTTGCGTTTATCTCTAATTGATAACGTTGAGAAATATTGATATTTATTTATTGGAATCAAAATCCGGACTGCAAATAGTTGATTTAAGATTAGATTCTTACAATTTGAACTTTAACTTTCGGTATCTTATAATAAATATCCTTGTAACAGATCGCGCAAATTATTGTCTGAATCTATCGAAGTCTGCGTTTGAGATTAGCGAAAAATAAAGTTGTATCATCTCGCATCGTGTTGTGGATGAAAAAGGTTTCGAATAAAATTCAAGGATTATTCGGCATTCGACAGTTTGTTCAAAATCCACCCCTTCGCGCGTAGCATCTCACGATTTCATGTAACACGCGATTTATTTGCGAAATGTCGGACACACGTGCGCAGATACACCCGTTTCCACTCCCTCCCGAGTTTACATCCGCACAGATCTATATCCTATTTTTAGAGAGCGAAACACGGCTGACTTGGACTCGGTCCCCCGCGCGCGATTCGCCGGAAGTGAAATATTAACAAGTACGAGACGACGCATTATTTATCCGCGCTATAACGCGCGCTTAACTCTCATTACTAGTACAATTAAAAGGTTTAATGGAACAACGAGCCAACGCGTTTTTCTTTCTTTAAAGAGAGGTAATTAATTTCATAGCTTAAAAGATCAATGTAAACATAATTAATTACATAGTTGTTGTTTTGCAAAATTTGTCAGCGCAGCAAATTAATATACCGTGTAGATAATTGCCGAAACGTTAAATAGATCCGAAAGATACGACCTACACAGCGATTGATCTCGCTGCTCTGGTGAAAATCAGGAATTTAATTGGTCGATCACGTTACCGCTTCGAGTGCATTCGATTAAAACGCTATTGATTCGGTTAACTCTGTTACGCGTCGCGCATCCATGCACAAATCAATTATCGATCGGTTTATCCAACGCTCGTAGGCGTTGCGCTCACCTGCGCAGGTAACAGGCAGGTATCACTGCGAACGTCAATTCGATTTATTTTGCAACAGTGGGAGATTCGTTCAAGCTTTTTGTATAATTCGTAATGGGGCAGAAAATGAAAGGCAGCGGTGACATGTTTTTAAACCAATTATTTATCACAATAATAAGAGTATATTGTACATTTAATGGTTTTACGTGCATTTATATGTAGTATCTTACGTATATGTTAAAAATATAGAGGTAATTAAATGTAAAATTATATATTACAAGTTTGAAATGATAATAAATCTGACATAATTTTGGAAAACCGGAAGAAATGTTTCGAAGAAAGGAATCTGAAAGAATTGAAATCTAAAAATAAAATGCTAATCAAGATCGCGGCGGCTCGTTAAATATTTTTAAGTCTGGGAATTCGTGACGCATATTTGAAGGAATATTTTCCCTCTCGGCGACAAAATCTGGCGTGCTACTAGGCGATATTGTTTTTTTTTTAGCGAGATAAAGTCATATCGACCGCGAAGGGAAGAAGGAAGTCGTGCGCGGATTGTAATCAATTGTTTATGAATATAATTATTTCAGTATGAATACAATCAAGAGACACGTAATATTTTACTTTAGCGAACAATAGCAGTATTGAACATTTTGAAGAATGCAACCATTATTTTTATCTTTGAATAAATCTGTATATAATAGATGCTATCTTAATAGCTATCGGATGTTAATAATAGGGCATATTTATAATAATGGAAACTTGTATATTAAACCAACTAGTGGATTATATATCAGTAGCTACGCTGCGAGAAGGGTATTGTGGGGTTTTCCTTATGAGGTTTAACCTTAACCCGCGCACGCGGACCGTTTCGGCGCGCGTAGCGAGCGATCGATAGCGGCATTTCTGGCCGTCATCGGCCAAGCTCAACCACCACGTACGAGATCCTAATTGCAGCGCGACGCAGCTCGATATGCGAGCTGCGCGATTAACTTTTAAAGCAGCATAGTTCATGAGTGCATAATTCATGAGTTCATGCAAATCTCAATCAGCGCGTCCTTTCAGCCCTGTTAACTCGATCTTCGCGATTGATCGATTCGTACATGTGCGTACATCCCAGATTCGGCGTCTTTTTCTTCAAAAGATTTCAAGCTAATTAAGTGTTAAAAGTTCAGTCAGTCCGTGTCTCTTGATAGTAAAAATGTTATAAAAAAACTTTTTCTTCGTTAATTTTGTCAAATAGATATCATTTTGTGAAAAAGGAACTTGATGTTTTCGGAAAGTGATTTGTAGCTTCACTTTGCTATCACCATTTGTTTCGACTAATGTTATTACTTATCTCGGCAAGTATATGATAAATGATTTTTATTGGCTGCTAGACGTGTCAATTTTTTTCGCTGAGGTTTTTTTCTTTTTTCTTTTGCGAGCAAACTTAAGGAATCGCATATGCGAGATTGATTTACATTGATTGACATTACAAATCGTGTAAGTTTTTCTGGAGCAAAATTATAATACTTTATTTTAAACTTTATTAGCTCTTTTTAACTTCGTTAAAAATTTGAGCATGCAATTGAGCTATTAATAAAAAACATTACTAACAGATCAATTAAAATTATTACAGTTCTTTAATTAAAAGGTCAATATTTTGTATTTCTCAAAATTTAATTTCTATATATTTAACTCGTTTTAACTGCTTGAAATTGAAAATCAACGAAGCTAAATAGAGAGAATTACAGAATTTCTCGATATAGTTGAGAGAGATACACAAATAAAGTGTTAATAATTACGTGCGATATTCTTTCTACCGTGTAGATTTGCGAGGAATGTGTTTTCACTCTCGAAGTCAGGACGCAAGGACTCAAGGATAGTAGCGACGTTGATTTTTTCATTTGTTGAGCTGCAAGGATTCGACGCGTTTCTGCGAAATGACGTCAGAGCGTATTAATGGATTCACGCTGAGTAATAAAACGTACGTCGTACGCGGTCTTTGGCACGCATTTTCGCGAAATTAACTCTGT